AGCAGATGATGGAGAATTTTTTAACCCGACTGTTTACATTTTACTAGGCCGTTTTGTCTGCGGGAGAAGCCCATCGCGATTGTCCATTAACAAATACGACGGTATTATACCCTAAGCGGCACAAGCAGAGTTTTTAAGTAGCTTTAGACCAAGCAGTAAGATAAGAAGGTTATGTTTAACTCACAAACAGGCCTGCCCATACGTAAAATACAAGATCAGTAGAACGAGCCGACAAAACATTGCAGGCTTTGGAGGTGCTCATGTGAAAAGAGCACAGATGCACATAGCAGGCCAAAGCAAACGCTTTATCAATATTTTATCTTATAGGAAGATGCCCGTGTTAATCACGTGTGTTACTAATACGGGTATGGTGCACTGCGTAAGTAAACAAACTGATGCCTGCAATTAATACGGAGCACATTAAACGGGGACTATTATTACTAGTCGTTATATAGGCGACTCGCACATACATATTTTAACACCAACATTTTGTTTCATATAACTTCTACATTGATAATTCGCATCGCATCGTTACAATGTATTGTAGTGAAGTTACTAAAACAATTTCACGAACAAACAACGCGCGAGCCCCGCATCAGAATGTCACCGATAAAGGGAATTTCAACAGATATAGAACCGAGCTAGCTATATCCCCACAATGTACACATCGTATATATATACATAAACTTATGTACATATCGGGCGGGCGGGCGGTCGGTCAGTCAATCTATCTTGGCGTTTTTATCTCAGAACACTCTGACGAGTAGAGGCGGTGCTGTTTTGCGGATAAAAAAATACTGTTCTATCTGTTGGAAGATAGCGTTGCTGTAGTAAAGATTCAAGATGAGTCAAGTTTTGGGGGCTGACACGCTTTCACCATCCACAAATCCAGCCCTAACTCGATTCCACAGCGAGGTTAGTGTGATGCCGTATGGAGCTCCAGCAGTTCGTTGGCGCTGCTCTAGAGTGCTGTTTAACATACATTTCATGCAAATGACTGCTCATTTCTGCCGTCACATCTCCCCTACCTCACTCCCGGCTCTTCAACAGTACCCCTCTACATTCGGCTTTCAATCCGCGTGGACATACCGCATTCATCCATCGTACGTCAGTGTCCCCTCGGGGGTTGCTCTTCTACGACATAGAAAGTGAGAGATACAGAGAGGGAGAGAGAGAGCTATGAAAATGACGGAATAAGCAATCGCCAGAACTCAGGCGGCGCGTTAGTAATCGAGGGTATTTTGAACCACGTATGATTAGAAACCCACCTCACGATACCGGTTTGTGATACTTGCCGAACAACGTATCATTATCAAACACGATAGCCATTCAGATTATTCTACCAAGACCATTCAGGGGTGCGTGGATAGATATTACCGTGAGCATTATCGCATCAGCAAGAACATCAGCGGCCGCGGCGGCAACAATACTGTTTCTCTAATGGAATTAAAAGCGGGAACCTATCCCTGTTCAAATACTTATGCAATACACTAGAATACATAATGACGTTTAAAATGCCCCCAACTGGCAAAAATTATAGAAATATCTCTGTTTGTACATAAAGCTGTACGCAGCGATCAAACAAAAAAGGCAGGAATAATACAATTCATCAATCACTTTGTCGACGATAAATTAATTGTATGTATAGCTGGTGGGTATTTGAAAAGCTGCTCTATAGCCAGCAATTTTTAAACGTATTTCATAAACGATTAGGGGGGCTAAACCTTTCACTTAACTTCTTTACTAACTGTCAAGCTATGCCACCAATTGCCCTCTTTAAGGTAAGGCTGTAGCCTGGATTAGGTGTATTTGTCTCGAAATAATACGATAATGAAACGTTATCTGTTTTGAATCCCGGTCTTTTCTTCGTCTGATATGTCACTGTCTATGGTTTTGCACTGTTATCTTCAATAGTTATACCAATAAAGCAGTATTTTTGCAAAAATATCAGAAAAAAGTGTTACTTTACCAATATCTACCTCTTGAATTTTATATGATTTTTCTCATGGGACCGACGTTAGCAAATAGAGCAATATCTCGTCTACAGGGAGATAACGTTTGTCTTTCTTGAGCAACATTTTCTAAATTTTACCACGTATTCTTCTATGAAGCTCGGAACAAAACGATGCAACTTTTGTTGAATTTTCCCGCGCGAATATAGTAGTATAGCCCTTAATCCAGTATGTAACGCCTTCAGCCATGATCCTCTTGACCTAATAACCAACTGAGCTAATAATTTATAAACTTGATATAAAATCAATTTCACCGATCCAATTTATTTATGTTTATATTTATACCTGTCAAATATCGTAAGTTAGCGGTGTAAAATTTTTTAACGACAAAAGTTGAAATGACCAACGAGATTCGTGGAGCATATTGATAGAATAACATTTTAAACTTTTTGTTACCTCATTCATTTCCGGGGGTCGTCATTGTGTTCTAGATAAAGTTTGGTAATGTAAATCACGAATCTTTTAGTTGATTTTTACTGAGGCCCGTTTGAAACGCAGAATTAAAAAAGTGCACAATGTCACTTATGATTACCTACGTTGATTTAGAAATTTATCCAGCTTCTCGCGTTTATATAGAAGATATATATATATATATATAATACGCCTATCTTCCGTATAAATATTTTATATATATATATATATATATATATATATATATATATATATATATATATATATTTTGGAATAATAAAATCTATTCCATTTTATTATTCCAAAGGTAAAGATAATTACCTTTCAGATACTTCATAAAAAAAGCTGGTCTTTCTGATAACCGACGTATTAGATAACACGTAACAGGGTACCCTCGAGTACTTCGTGTACGGAGCCAGTGCTCTCGACCTAACCTAAGAAATAATCGTCTCAACCATCCTTTAAGCTGAGTAGCTATTTGCTGGAAATGAGATTGCAACATCATTAGGTTATCATCGTATCCCGCCCCACCTCGTATCTGTTACATAGCAGTTTTCACGTGCATGTCAAAACGAGACTTTAGGGACCCTTTAGGTTACAATCCAATATCATCAGGGCTTCGAAACTCATTAGAAGCGGACACGGACAGCGAGGTTACAAAATAGAAGGCCCACCTGTTGTAGTTTTGATTACATGATGGTCACAGGTACATCGCTGTGAGAAAAAATTTGCTTGCAACTATCGCCATAAATCGGTAAGGTACATCGTGTTGAAAAACTGTGCACATGTCAAACGTATGGCAGAGTTTTACCCTAACCGCTGGAAAATACCCCCTGAAATGCTGCGTGGATACTTGCCAAAATGAGACATTTGAATGTCGAAGAGTATTAGCGTCCAGAGCAGGTGGCAGTCATCGTCTCAACTTATTTCCTCTATATAACTATAGGCCTCTAATTTGATCAATACGAAACATAACATCAGTACTTCGCTTTGGATTTGTCTGTCGTATCGTTATTGCCGGCTGCTATTCACAGTATTGTTTTCCGGCGCGTATATTTCACATAATGTAGAAGAAATTGACGACGCTTCTATATACATATAGTAGGAAAAGCTACCTATGTTTTTTCGGTTATTTACCGTTTGTTGATACTCGATTACTGTTGGATGGGTATAGGTTCTGACATATCCGTTCCCCGGTTAATATTAAACGTAGGATATTGACCAACCTAGGCCATACAAGTTTAACTGAGTCTACGCGTGCGGACAACGTTGCCTTGATCTCTATCAAATTGGCAATTTCCCTTAAACTTAACTAAAAAAAAGTTATCTTAAAATATTATATTCCAACATGTATTCGACCTCACTGTCTCCTAGAGAGTAAGCTAAGGGTCACTAAGTTACTTTTTATTGCTATATATTTTTTGCCCATATGATATCAGTGGTAACGTCCCTTTAACATAGGCTGGCGTATATAAGTGTCTATCCCTCAAACAAAATAAATAGGAGAATCTTATGATCTTTACAGGACACGGCCTGCCAGTTCTTACGTCTTGAAAAAAGCTGATAGCCCCTAACCTCGGTTATGACCGTACGCGGCACGTTTAATACACCTACAGAGCAGACCTTCGCAAAGCGTACCTTCTTCCATCTTAAGACCCGTGTGATTGGCGTGCAACGTATTCATGGCCCTCCAACCGCTACACAAAGGCCAGCGTAAAGCTGAGAGGAAGCTGCTGCGCGAACGGTGGGTGGCAGAAAAGGTAGTCCTATGGTCCGCTGGTCACTTTTAACTAGTGAAAGGGTTTCGAGCCACACGTTCTCGACCTAAACAAAGGAGTGAAAGTGAAAAAACATGGGCCTAACCCAATTGATGGCACCCATAAATGATTGAGTGGTGCATATTCGGTATTCTTTCTGAACTGCATCTCGAATGGTACCCTCATTTACGACTGCAATCAACTGAATTGTCTCGAAAGTAACTAACCTTTTCTAGCGCGCACGAAATAGAAAGGTAGAATACATTTGGGAAAGCCAGCGTGGGCATGACTTCCAGAGCTTCTTGTTGGTTCTGATAGCACTGCTCGCCCGCTGCTACGCCGTTCGGTGCCACCATGCATCCGAATCGGCTCGCGGCTGACAATTTGCGTTATCTTAACGTAGGTACATTTAGCGAAGCAGCGATAAACGGTCATGAAATGGAGCTCTGGGGTGTGGGAAGTGGCCGAGATAGGATATACGAACGTAACTTCATAACCCAGTCAAATGATTTCCACATATGCTATTTAGTTCATGATGGAGATTCATCCCTGTCTAACAGCTGCCTTACTAAAATGATCATGAAAGAGTCCAAATTGAGCCAAATGGCTCCAAACCGAGGGCGTTAACAAAACACGCACACAGAACCAACCGCTGATTATCTAACTGTAATGTTACAACTATACAAACTACTCGCATAGTATATTGCCTCGGATAACATATCACGCGTTAGAATACAGTAAAGATCCTATACCCAAAAACAAAAAAAAAGGAGTGTATTGTGTTTATATTCTTCTAGTTCAGTGATAGTTATCGCAGCTAATACGTATCCTGATTATTTGCTAGTTTACTTAGTTCCAATACGAAGTTTGTTTTCCCGGTTCGAAGTCTATTTGAAGAGGCAACAGCTTCCTTAGTCAGTCTTGTCGGTCCAGATTACTAAGCGTACGTTTAGTTATATTGTTCTTTCTATCATACATCCTTGACGGAGCTAGCTACCGAACCCTTGCTGGCTTTATAGGCGATCACCAACTAATATTTGTGCGGTTATTAGACAGTCGCTACTGAACATATTGCAGGCAATGTCACGTACTTCTGTACAGATCATTCTAGCTCCTAAATGCTTGAAAAGGTCAATTTAATTTAGCGCGTTGTTCATTCGGGCTCACTTTAGAAGATCTTGTCCAGAACCCTGTTTTGGCCGTGTTCAAATCTCTGTTCCCCCATTCGCAGCGCTATAGTGAGGTGGGGAAGAACGGTCGCTCAATTTAGAATATTCTTTGTAATATTTCAGAGTATGGGGCCGAACAACCAGCTCCGGACGCATGGTTTGCCAGCTCGGGTCGGAACCCCCGCTGTAAAGTAAGCGGCTCCCGCTGTAATATACGCAGGCACTAGAGAACCTCCATGCGATGGGAAACCTAGCAGGGTAACGTAATTTTACGAAAAAGGACAAGACAGTTACTTGCCGGCCTCGTGCGGCAAACATCGTTTTATAGTTCTTTTAAAAAAGATAAGAAAAACGGTAAATGTTTCCTAGAAGAATAAACGTAAGTGATACGTCGACTTGGCACAAACGTATGTACTAACCATGCCAAGACATCAGTGAAGATGTTCCTATCCGGAGAAAATGGACGAACCTGTAAGACAGTAAATGGCAAACTTTTTGTTATTTATGCAACCTATAGGCGCCCTATAAGATATTGCATTTGAAGCGAACTCTACTCGCTTATATATATAGGCCTACGGCAGAAAGCATTTTATACTACGTTACATAACGAATGTATTATTCATTAGCTTCGTTCTGTCTACGGGGCATTTTCGAGATGATCAAATAATCATACTGTTCGAAACTTCGTTTTAGCGGCTGAAAATCGCGGGCCCACGGTAATCGGGAAATGTGCCGAATGCTTTTGCAACTTTCGAAAAGTCTATATATTACATGGTTGCATTTTCTTATTTTTGTTATCTATTTCAGTCGTTCAGCTTTAGATCAAAATATTGATATAAAGATTGGATGCATTATTTGTGATACTACCTTTCTCCACAGAAGCTATCGTGCGTTTTCTTCCCTGCTTTGTCTTCGATGAAAGAACGAGACGTCACCGTTTGTTGAGCGGCCCACATTTTAGAAATGAAAGCCGGATTCGGCTGGTTCATCTGTGACGACAACGGTTCCTAGTGCAGCCCTTTCAGTAGCCAGTACGGATTATACAAGAAATGCCCATGCTGACCGAAAGTCATGTTCTACCGTTATCGATGTAATTATTAGTCATTTTGTAGACTTTCTAAATTTGTCGACGGCTGCCCATGTAGAATGACTATACACCATCTAATAAAATATCCGATCGGTAACATGGTTTTGGAACGGTAATCAGCACGATCGCATAGTTAACGAGACTTTTTCAAGAGTAATCGATAAGCTGCAGCGATGTCTTTCTTCCCTTCAAAGTCGTATAACAGCTCACGTTGAAGAACCATCATCCCATCCACTCAGAACTACTGCAATTCTTAACAATTTGAAAAGGGGTATAACCCGATATTACTACATTTATTAATTCGTTGTGCTGTAGAAATTATGAGACAGTTTCAATGAAATGTACCTTTGATGAGAGAAACGTAAGCGTACGCGTAGTCGCGAGAGCGGTAGCACTTCGACTTGCAGGGGAATGAATTGAAGAAACTCGCAAAAAGGAAGATAGCGTAAACATTGAATGGAGACGATCCTGCTAATAAGAGAGTAGCCATAGCAGATCAAAATATATCTTGTGACGTGGGTTAGTCGTGGCGTCAATCAATACATAACGTCCCGCACAGAGGAACAAGCACTTGGCATTTTAAATAGTTCGAAAAAATGAAAAATTCAACAAACGCCAAACGAATTTATATTTAATTTGGCGCCGTTTTTCTCCAAGAATAGACGGCACTAGGCACATATAGATACTCGCTGATACCTTACAAACCTGCGTCTAGTGTCTCATGCTGACGCATCGTGGTTCCGCAGTTATCCGAGTTATGCGCTCATATTTTCCATTCAGGTCAATACAGCCATCCGCGTATGACAGAACTGACCCGCTTGAGAGAAAACGAGTTCAGACTGAGTGGTGGCTCTACTGCCAACTTGGCAAACTAAAAAAGACAATCCTCCTAGCTCAAAATAGGTCGTGAGTATAATGGCTGTTTCGCTCCCGCTCAATCGTCCCGCGTAAGCATGTGAATTTAAGCCAAGATGGACAAAGCTTGAGGATAATGGTTCCCTGCTGGGCCTTTAGTGAGCAATTTGAGATGTGCTGACAGTGTGTGTGGAAAAGCAGTCGGTCAGCGAACCACGAGGTTGCCGTAAGAGTGTAAGGCCGACAGAGCAAAGAGTGCTGTACAGGCAGTCTAGGTCGACAGTCCTTTCGGGAGATGTATCTTTGTTGTTCACAAGGAAAAGATGAAGACACGCTCGCGGCCGCTACCGCCTAAACATTGACATATAGCTACGAGAAGCGAAGAAGTAAGAGAGGAAGTTGCTACCTCCCGCAGCTGGATTGCCCCCATTTAAAAGATGGAGTGGAGTGGCCAAGTGATATGATTGGCAGACCGTGCACGTGGAGGATATAGAAAAGGATCGAGAAGGGGGCAACCAAGATGATAAAGAGAGGTGTTTTTTTCAAGCAACGGAAAAAAAGAACCGAGCTCGTGCTTTCTGACGGAGAACAACGAGTATGTATTGGCGGGTGGGCAGTTTTACTCGCATTTTAGGGTAATGGGGTCTAGGCAAGGATTGTGGGTCGGCTATTTAGTGAGCAAAAGGGGAGCTTTTACAAATGGATGGTTGCGCGACTCTCTAAGAGACAGACATTAGATAGACAGTGTTGTATTTAGATGTTTTTATTCCCCGTTTTCGACGTCTGTGTACTGCATGTCCCTGTGATAGCTTACTGGGTAACGTGTTAGCGTGCAAATTTTAGAGGCACATTGTGGTATCGGTTTGAACCCAAGTATAGACACACTTCGTTGGAACAACCATTCCATTAAACAAAAGATTTTGACCACTATGACAAAAAGCAGTATATTTTCAACTAATATTAAATTCATGTTGCGTGAATTTTCCATGAAGAAAATTGTGTTTCTTTAGAAACTTGGGCAACCTAAAGCTTTGCACCTTTTTTTCATTTCAACCAGTAAAATAGAATAACAAATAAGGGCGTTCGTACGAGATAACCTAAAAGATGTTATATTTACTCAACTGTATGCTTCCTAAGTACTTCAACTAGAAGAATTATTGTGTTATACATCCGATTAAACAATATAAAAGTTTGAGAATTTCCTGACAAAAACGCATCTAGAGATTGGCTTGATACATAATGATTACGCTCGTTCAGAAGAAGCTGTGTGTACTAGGTTCCGCAAATGTACCACAAACGTTTAGGAGACTTTGCAGAGAAAAATAGCGTTAATTGGCACAACATTAACAGCAAATTCATATGAACTATGACTGTTCTTATCATTAAATATGAGAAAATGATTCGGATCTATGAGCTCTGAAGCTGTTGATTCGTGACGCAACACTCAGTACTTACTAGGAACGCCTGGAACGCTGCTTGTGGAGCGAGGCCTGCATAAAAATCTACCAACATTTCCAATTTTTTGCTTTCTATGACAGTCTGATGAGTGCGATGCTTTATATTGCCGCTGCTGCTGCTGCTGCTGCTGCTGATCAACCTTTTGCTGATTAAGAGAGAATCATCATCCAGCTCTTCAATTGCAAGATTAGCAATGGTAAGTTACGTACAAGGCAGACTTAGGCGCAATGTATAATCAATGCGGGGTTTTTTTTTTAAATCCAGGTCAGAAATAGAATACTGGGCTTTTTCACATACACACAAAACATGATTATTATTACTATTCTCTAAAATGTGCTAACAGTCAATATTGTACCGATATGAATTTTGTACACCATGCTTGGGCTTTCTGTTTCCGAGCTTTCGAACATATATGAGTAAAGTTAATAGTTTTTAAGGTCTGATTTATTATATACTTAAATATGGTATAGAGTAGTGTTCTACCATGTCCGTCGTCATCCTCTATGTAGCACGATGTGAATCTTCTTCTAGTATTTGAATTGTGCAATGGCACTCAACACTTATCTTGCTGAAAACCAGATTAACGCCATAACGGATTTGTCGATAAAAGCTAGGAAAAAACCAAACCTGTCATTCTTCGTATGTTTCAACCGGTGAAATGCTGTTCGGGTTGTCCTGTGCTATTGTGCTATGTTAGTTCAACTTCTGCCGTATGCGCACTTTTAGTAAGTAAACCGTTCAAAACGTATCTCTTCGGCGTACACCCATCGCCCTTCAGCCGGGTGACGTCTGCTTCGACAACATTATCAATGCAGAGATGAGCAAGCACAAAAAACAAAGTTGCCGGTGTTCATCCTCCACTTCTGATTTCAGATGAGTCGAAAGCAACTCGATAAAAAAAATAGGAAAAACCGATTCGTCCATTCTTCTTTCACGTCACCTCTTTCTACTGATGATTTTGAAGGAGAAGTACAAATATTTCAGACCTTTGAGAATTCATCCCCACGAATGGCGACATGCCACCATTCGTCCCTTCGGAAAATCGAGTTTAAACCTACGTGTAGCCGGAAAATGTCTTAAGGACAGTCGCGGGTATGTCCATAAATCATATTTCTAATATACCACATTTGTACTTGTATGATAGACAAGGAACGCAAGAATCCTTCGAAAAGTGTTCTCTACGCACCCATCAACAAAAAGTGTACTTTCGAAAAAATCCAACACCCACGATGTGATGTTTGATCGACGATGGTTATTGCTTTGCTCTTGTAGCATACGTTTATATGTTTTGTTTTGTTGTTAGTAGTAGCATCTGATGAGAGTGTTTACAAAACAAAGAAGAATGATCAGGCATAGAAACGTGATAGACGCCGCAACAAGCTTCGTTCATTTTACCGATTACTTTTTTAGACCTGCAGAACGGCTTCTAGAGTGTATTTGGCTCATCGTTGATAGTGAATTTGTTGAAACAGTCAATCCTATTTCAGTCGACGTTATGATGTTCCTAAAAAAAAAAAAAAAAAAAAAAAAAAAAAAAAAAAAAGTAACTTTTTTCACTACGAAATTAAAATCGAACTTGAGAGCCGTGTATATTTTCGTTTATTCAAAATCGAAAATGATCAGAAGTTGACGAGAATAGTCAGAGATTTATTATTATGAACGATTATGGTCTTTTCATCTGGGTTTTATTATAGGGTGCTTTTAGATCAGAGAGGAGCGTCGACAGCAAGTGAAACAATGTTTACTACTATATATACAACACATGTATAACGTTAGCAAACATCTTGCCTTTGTTGTTCTTTTATCTTCCTTCAAGGTATAACCCGACTAGTAAAATATCAATGACACGAATCTCATAATGTGAAAACGATAGAGTTTGCACATAAAAACTTGCTATTGGGAAGTTCTTGAATCTGCCTAATGATCTGATCAATTTTTATGGTCTAATTCGGCCCGTGAAGAAAACTCTCATAGAAGAACTTTACCTTTGGAAGAACTCGCTTTCCCGTCTAAAAATCCGAAAATATCTGGCGTAACTTTCCACTGTAATCTTCTACCGTAGGGCCACTTTAAGCAATTAAGCAGCCGTTATTCAGAATGCTCATGTCTGCTGAGTTCTGTACCTGACAAATTGTAAGCCTCTGAGATTATATTTGTATGGGCATTGTAGTAAGCTGACTCTAACGCTACTGAACTTCGTTATCATCGTCAAGTAGGACGAGTGGCAATAACCACTCGGTATTGGTACAGATAAAAATTAATATTTTTTCATTTGTACAATTTAGGACACACCAAATACAATACAAAATGAAGTGGATATATTTTTATTGTTGTCACCTTCATTATCGTCGATATCATTCATCTCAATCGGTCGCGTTCTCTCTCTCTCTCTCTCTCTCTCTCTCGCTTATTGATTTCATTTTCGCCCCCATTTTCCACTAGCAATTTTCACCATTCAATCGCCATTTCGTCACTTCTTTCATAATCATTATATCGTCAGTATCATCTGAAACTGTGATATCTTTCTTACACTCTTCTTCCACGCCGTCATCATCATCATCATCATCATTTATTTATTTGTATAATCTCTTGTTAATTATTATTTTACTAGGAATTTTTTGTTAATGGGACTGATGTCTTCAAGTCACTGTGTTGTTTATAGTATGTTGATGTTGTTCGCGGAACGTCGGCTTAAGTCTGGATGGAGCTGGAGAGGATTGCATGTTTCAAAGAATTATGTCTGGAGGAAGGAAGATTGGTCAGCGGTTGAATTAGATCGCCAACGGTATGTACAACGGGTACAATGTTTTGTCCTTACTTTCATTTTGTCTCGCCTTCTCCTATAGAGACATTAGTCATATTCAATCGTCATATATTTGATTCCTCTTGTGGCATCGCTTGTCACAAGAAGTCTAAAAGTTCCTGTTTTCTTCTATTTCGACCTTTTTCCACGATCCTCTCTCCCTTTGGCCGTGGGGGAAAACTTATCCTACATTCTGGACAACTCCATTGTTCCTAGGCTACAACAAGGTGACGAAGCGTGAAATTTCTGCCCTTTCTCGTGTCCTATCCATGCCCGACCACTTCCAACAGGATGCCCAAAATGGCAACCGAGTTGATGACAACACATCTGTACTATCGCCTCTTCACAGAACCTTAGAAATACCGCGACAGGTTTGCCAGGTCTTCCTTTTTGTTGAATCGATGTTACGAACTGATCTATGTAACCGTCTACTCTTGTCATTGTATCTCAGAATACGGTACCTGGGAAGTTATTCCCCTTGATTTTTTTGGTAATTATTATTTCTGTATTCCGTATTTATCTTTATCTTCTTTACAAAATATTCTGTACACGTAGCCAGCCCATGAAAAATGTTGCCTACTAATGTCGTCTCTTACATACGTGGAAGTTCACCACTTCCATTTGGGTGTCCCATCAATTGATGCATGTTTACGTTTCGTTTCCTTGTTTGTATAT